GTAGCCGCTTAAGGTTCATTAAAATGTAATTAATTAATGATTTGCTGCTGAATAGCTGCTGACTGTGGTTTTCTTTTCACTTGTCCAACAGCATGAGTCACAGTTGCCAAGCCGACAAGGAAACTATTTGCAGACTATAGCACCTATTGATGAGTGTTTCAATCCGCACTCATTTGCATAGCAAAGATTCTGGTAGGGGTGAAGAACTTACTTGCAAGATGAATGTGAACCACACCTATGATTCCAACCTGCCTAGCCCTGTCCTGATTAACATGACAGTAACCTTCAGCTCACTCAGACTGTTTTTGATTTTTGAAATCTTTAAATTGTAACTTGTTATAATACAACCATCAAATAATCAGAAAAGGCAGATTTTGATTTTTCTAAATCTAAAAGCATGTGTCTAAGAATTGTGTGTGTGTGTGTGTGTGTGTGTGTGTGTGTGTGTGTGTGGTGTGTGTATGTATTGTGTGTTTGTGCCTATTTATATGTATGGATTTCCTCCTGTGGAATTACCTTGTTAGAAAAATCTCCATTTTTCTCACTTCAGGGCAACATCAACAATTCTTTCTCTTAAACCTCAAGCTAAAGGTAAAATGGCCATTTTCAGTGTTTGGAATTCCTGGCCCCCCAGACCATTGAGCACAGCCTGTATATTTAACTCTAAGGAATTCACATAAAATACTGACATTGTGGATATAGGGCAACTATTCCGAACTTATAAAATTAACTGCTTTCAAATATTTACAAGGAAAGGAAATACGGTTTAACCTCCTCCATTTGCTTTCCCCATGGTGTTTTTGTCCTTACCAGAGTTTTATGGAAGTTACTTCGCAATGTTAGGCTTTAAAATAAAAATCAAAACCCAAGCATATTGTTTGTGTAAGTGATTCTCTGATTCTGTCTTTGTCTAGGACATTTTAGAGTCATGGAATCTGAGAACTAGGAATTTAGTTTACACTGCATCTGAAAAGTGGTGGACAGGCATTTTGCCCCTTAAATGAAAAATATGATAAATTTAATAGCTTTTTAAGAGTATCTACAAATTCCCACCAATAGGCTCTGAGCAAATGGTTAAAATAAGAAAGTGAAGAATCAAATCATAAAGTTAGCCATTGATGGGAGTATTATGTGTAAAAACACAAGGAAACCTTGATTTCAGATTTGAATATTTCTGATTTAGGAGACAGCAGGGGAATAACTGCATTAAGCAGCATTGACTTACAATTTGCTAAGCCTGTTGTGGGTGTGTTTTAAACATAGCTCCTTTTCTATTTTGTGCTCCGTATATTCTTGTCAGCTTTGCCTTCTTGAACAGATAAACAGCTTAAGTATTTCCTCATGTTACACAATGACTTATTTCCTTCTGAGCAAGGAAAACTAAATACTCAGTGTCATTTGAACATACTAAAAAAAATCATATATATTAAACGTAATACTTGCCATTTTATCAAATAGTCTCAAAACTGAGAAACCTAAAATTCAAATCATTTTTGTTCAATCCTATTAATATGATTTTATAACATAATTTTCAACTATCATTATGTCATATTATTTTCAAGTTGAAGCTATTAAATTATATGAACTGAAGATTGCCAGGAATTAAGTTCCTTGTAATACTGTGTTTTTCCCATACAGGATCTCTGACCGTATCTTCTGTTACCATTCATGATCCACATGCACATGACACACTGCATGTCCTCCTAGACTCTCGCTGAGATGCTACAGAGTTCTCTGAGGGTACAATAGGACATGGAAGGAATGGCTGTGTGCCACAGACTGAGGATGGTAGGAGATAGCTGCAGAATGCTCAGTGTTCCAGCCCTGTCACCTTCTGGTGATTGGCTTGCTTATGGCCATCTCCTTCATGTATTTTTAGCTGAGGAGAGTGGGTCTAATACTTTAATATGCTTAGGGATCTCTTAAGTTCCAGGCCTTACCTCCTCTCCACCAAAGATTCTTAATAAGTTACTCAGGATTCCTATCTTATTTCTCTCTAATTCACTGATGAAATCAAAGATGCTGGTTTAAAGATCACTGGCCTACCGATTAAAATGTTATTTATAACATTTTAAAATGTTATAAATTTCTGGGTCACCTTTTTGGTCCTTTTCTCTTGGACCAAAAGTGATCTCGCAGCTACTTCAATATTAATAGTACAGTAAATGATACTTTAATTACTATGTGATCATAGTTTTACAAATACAAACAATTTCCTAGCCTTGACCACTTACATAAGCACAAAAATTTGGATTCCAATTGGCTGATTGCAGGGTAACCCAACTTGAAACAAGGATTTTTGTAACATCAAGTTAAAAATAAAAATAAAAACAAGTTACAAAAATACAGTGTAACTAACAAAGTACTATGATATTTCCATTCAGATTATATTACCTATTATATGACCTTATCACATAACACATAGCCAAATTAGTCTAATATTGCCAAGAGAAAGTTTTAAAAGTTCATTCCTGGAGCAAGAGAGATGGCTTAGCAATTAAAAACACTTGCTGCTCATGCAGAGGACGGGAGTTCAGTTTCCAGCACCCATACAGACGCTTACAACCATTTGTAACACTAGTTCCAGAGGATTTGACAACCTCTTCTGGCCTCCACAGGCACTGTATACATGTATTGCATATACATACATGCAGGTAAAACACTTATACACATAAAATAAAAATAAGTAAATCTTAAAGGAAAGGAAGACTTCATTCTCATATTAGGCAAGCTACCAAATATTCTTTGAATTCTGGGTAATCTGGTTTTTATATGAAGAGTTTTATATGAAGCAGTAGAGAGACATACTGATAGGGCAGTTATTATCAATCTTAGGAAATCATTTCTACTAACTCTTAAGCTAACCTGTCATACAACTGAAGACTTTAGTCTATGCTAAATAATTGACTATATATTGAGCCTGTGTTTAAGTGAACCAATACTATAGTAGTTAAGTTTTAATTTTAAGTCAGGGATGGTGAACAGTCAGAATGGCAAAATAGTCTTTCCCAGGCACTGAAATTGAAGGATTATCTAAACTCTTGTGAGAATAATATTTATATAATCACTTGGTGCCAGTTATATTCCAACCACAACCAAAGGGTTTCAATCATTTGGTGTGGTCTGTGCTTATAAAAGTGGATGGTCTAAATTTGTGCCATCTCATTTGTTTTTAGAAAACATAATCCCCCTCTGATAAATTATATTAGATGATCATGTTATATGTTCTGAAAAATAAATAGAATTCATATGATCAAATAGAAATTCTCTTTAAAATGTTGGACAAGTTACTACTATACCATTGACATACCAGCTGACCTAATGTTTCAGCTATCCCATTTCTGGGGAGGGAGGTTAATCACATTCCTTGTCATTTTACATTGTATTTATTCTTCTTGGTATTCTGTAAAGCTTGGGGTTTTAAGGAAGGTTTAAAAATGTGGGCAGGGCAAAGTGAAAGTGAATTAAATGGACTTTATCTTTAGCAAATGGTGTTTTATTTTTATTTATCATTTAACTGGTCACATATTTTTACTGTCCCTGAGACTAAATGCATTAAAAAACCACACACATTTAATATCTCTAGAGTAGCAATGCAATGAGACTACTTATTATGACAGTGAAAATCATTGGACAGGTTTGGTAAGAAAGGGATCAAGCAGGGCTACAGCTAAATGCCTTAGTAAGTACACTTTGATGGGCTCTTCTACGCTACTTTTATCTTATGCACAGAAAACCAGAGTTTAGATTTGATGCCAGTGGCAGTTGAACAAAATTTTAGGTCTTTGGAATGGTAAATGTTATCATTTATAGACATCCAATCTCAATGAACATAAAATGACCTATTTTTAGGAAAGAAGTAAAAAATATTAAGGAACCAGTATAAAGAGAGATAGTTAACACTGTTCTCTTCACAGCCCATGATCGTTAGATGTGCAAAAAAGCATTTAAAGGCCAATATACAATGAAAGATGTTTAAAGGCATAGATCATACCACAAGACTCCTTAGTAAATATGGGATCACCTACTATAGGAGCTGAGAGTGGAG